TCTCCCTTATGTCCTACTTAATATCTTAATATTTATCTTTCTCATAATAACTTTTTTCTCTGTATCCCTTTTTTTTTTTTTTTTTTTTGGTACTGGGGATTGAACGCAGGGGTGCTTAACCACTGAGCCATATCCCCCACTCATTTTTTTTTTTTTTTTATTAGAGACAGGGTCTTGCTGAATTGCTAAGTACCTTACTAAGTTGCTGAGRCTGGCTTTGAACTTGCAATCCTCCTGCCTCAGCCTCTCAGCCACTGGGCTTACAGGCTCCTGCAACTGCACCTGGCTTCTCAGTATTCTTAATTGTATAGGGAAACAGCTTCTTAGTAAGGTGAYCCATTTAGCTCAAACTACCTCCCAAGAACATGTCAAAGCCATTCTACTCCTGTGCTCACAAACTGATTCTCTGAAACCAGTTTTTTGCCTATGAAGACCTGAGGCTTCTTCAAACACCCCTTTTCAGCTTCAACTGCCATGAATTTGGTACTCTCTCTTAGAACTCTGAAAAAGGAGGGGGTCTTTTCAGGAGGAAGCAGCCAGACAGAGGTATCAATGCCCCTAATTCATTATCACTCTTCAGATCCYGGAATGAAGGATATGGAAACAACCCCCAGGGCAAAAGGAGAACCATGGGTCCTAGCTGAGAGAAGGAAACCAGTGGGCTCTGGACTTTCACCATTTCCCAGCAGCAATGGGCTCTCAACTTTCACAACTGTTCCCTCTGACTGCCCAACCCACACATTCTGCTATGGTTCAGTCTCACTGAACCCTATAAAACTCAGACCCCTATTGTGACCAGTTGTCATTTTCTCTCTTGAAAATGTGCCCCTCTGGTGCTTAATAAAGCATCACTGATCTGTTGAGGTCTGTCTCCACTTCTTTTACTTTTTCTTTCATTTTGCTCTCACTTCCTTTCACTTGTAAACATTTATCACAAGTTATTCAGATTCCTCTWTGCTTTAATTATTTTAAAAGTGTTAAATAATCAACATGCTAACGAAAGGAAAGCATTACAGCAACAGATAGGAATGGAGTGTCTAATTTTGTCASGATTCTCTAAAATAGATAACTTTTATTTTTAAAGGTTTACAAAGATTGTCTCAAGATGACCCTTTCAAATTTAATAACATTTCCCACCTGTAAACTTGCTTTTACCATATTCCTGGGACAAAAACTTCCATCTATTCCTTTTGACATTTTGCTGGATATCTGAGTGTTTAAGGAGAATATATCTAACAACTACTTAAAAGCAAGTTTCTTTCTGATGTCTTGACTTAAGAACAAATAGAACTACCAAAACTCCTGTGCAAGGAGAAATGTTTAAGGAATAACTGTCATCAAACATAAAGCACACTCTTTTAGAAAAGTGAGTTTAAAAAAAATGATGTTAACAGTTGTTACGATTTTCCTATAAAAGCAGGAGAAAGAATTTGAATATTTTTATGGGCTGGGGGCTACTTATAAAAATTCAAAACTAAATAACCATAAAAATAGATGCTGTTTCCATGGCAACATGAAAGAATAGCAGTGAAAACAGAAAGGGTAACTCTGAGAATAAAATCATAAAATCTGTTCTTTTTAAAAGTGAACAGGAAAAAAATTTAAACATGTACCAAAGTATTAATTATCCTGGAAATATAGAATTCTATCAAAGCAYAAGTCATAATAATAGGCTTTTATGTGAGGTTTTAGCTTTTTAAAAATATATATTTGTTAGAATAACAGGAGAAACAGTTCATTGCTTTCAGCTAAACAATGCTAAAGAAAGAGTGAAATTTTTATCTTGCTTTTGGCATTAGCCACTGAACCAACATTTTTTTTTCTTTTTCCTTCTTCTTTTTTTTTCTTTTTTACTTTTAGGGGTAGAAATAAAAATAATTGAGAACATAAATGGATATTGTAAATAAAGGGGACATTTAATGTAAATAGACCAGTATATACTAAAGTCCAGTATGTATCATATATAATGTTAATTGTTTTAAGGATTTCACTAGCCTTTTGAGAAAAAAATTTGAGGTAAATATTTTATCCATTTTACAAATAATCAAATATTAAAGCTTAATAGTCTGAAGTAGGGCTAGGGCCATGGATCAGCAGTGGAGCACTTGCCTTGAACATGTGAGGCACTGGGTTTGATCCTAAGAACCATATAGAAATAAGTAAATAAAATAAAGGTATGGTGTCCATCTACAAGTAAATAAAATAAAATAAAGTAAAATAAAAATGAAGTAACTTATCCAGAAAACATTCAATCAGATGAGAGTGGTACTACAAAATGATGATTTTTTTTTTAAACTCTCACTCAGTAGTCTAATAYCCTCCATTTTTATTATGAAGGTGATACGTATACACAGAAAATGTGGAGTAAAAAGTGATAACTCCTATTCCAATTCTAACTTCTTTCTAGATTTCCTCTCTTTAGAGTGATCTATATTCCAGATTTCTATTAATTTCTAATAGATTATAGAGCACCCTGTCAGTATATGGATACTACAAATATCATAAATGAAAATGCTCACATCCAGTTTTCAAAAAGTAAGATCCTTTAAATTAAGTTTTACCCTGGATATTTTTCTACATTTAATTTTAGATGATAGTATCTATAGACCTTCCTCAGTTATGTTAGCAGCATACAGTACTCCATACTATGTGGACATCAAGATTCATTTAATTATTCTTGTCTTAATAGGTATTTAGTTGTTTCTATTATTTGTTATATAGTAAAAGTACTCCAAAAATTCTTCATATATAGTTGTATGCATAAATAATTATTTATGAAGATGGAGAACTTCTGGTTTTAATTTCTCTCTTRTCCTTAAGTTAACAATGCAGAGATATCAGAATGTATGTAGAAATGGGTTTATGCATATTATTTATTTTTTTGCTTTATAAAGCCTGRAGTTTGATGTCTTTCTATACTTTTGGATACTAAGACAATAACAGCTAAATTTCCTTGGCCATGTCTACATGGTACTAAGGTAAAAATCCATTGTTTCATGTAGTCTCTCATTTAATTACTTGACTAGTATTTATTATGTATGTACCAAATCCCAAGGACTACAGTAGGTGCTAGGAATAAAGACAGGAGTAAGATATAGGCCCTGCAAACAACATGCAACTTTTAACACGTATAATCTCCGTATATGTTAGGGTATCATCCAGACAAATATGAATATTTAACTATTTGTCCTTTTGAACACTAACCTTGCAACCTTAATGAACCTATGTGGATAATTTACCTGGGTACCTTCTTCTATTTTTAATCTGCATTACAATTAGGGAGATATCATAAGTAATGTATCTTTTTTGAATTCTGTATGCCATTATGGTGCARATGATTAGTTGAAAATTTTCCCCATAATTCATTGAAATAGATGTGGCAGTTACTCTTAAATGTTCATCCAATGCTCAAGATAAATGAAGTAAGGGAGCAGCCATGTGTGAGTGTGAGACCAAATAGACTCTCTGTTTTTGCACTTAAGGGTGTTAACTAAGTAACTTAATTTTGTCCAGAAAGACGTACGTGGAAGTATGTACAGCCTCCAGAAGGCTTTTGTTTTTTCCTAATTAAAGGACAGACAGGCTGTGGTAGTTTCCCCTTCCCCACTTCTTCCTGTCTTGAATGTACATGTGTTTTCTGGAGTTTCAGCAACCCTCCTAAGATCAATCAATGACAAAACTTCACTCTGAGGATTGAAAAATGGAAAGATAAAATGTTTCCRTTTTTTTAATGGAATTGTTGAGGACTCAACCAATGTCCTTAACTGACTACCTTAGACTAGTTATTAAGTAATAAGATAAACCCCACACATTTAATCTTATGATATTTAAGCTTTTTTTTTTTCAGTTTCCAGATGAATTTATCTGAACTTCATTGTTTTTTAACCYGAGAGGCCACTCACATTCATCATGAATCAATATGACACTGTGCTGGATCATTTTTTAATACCTTGTTATTGTCCTGCCTGAATTACTGCTTCTATCATCTTCTTTCATAAAGTCATTTTCCCAAATGCCATAAGTTAGAAACTCGATTTTAAATATTTTCTTGCTTGAATTGAAACTTTGGAACACTGATGAGGATTTGAATTATTAATTGCTTTATATTTAAGGGAAAAACTTACTTTTAATATTATGTTCTCCACAGAATCACACAGGCCCTGCATAAACTGTGGTATCAAAACTTAATCAGCACGTGTGGCCATACAAAATGAAGACACCTGTGCTGGATCAAGTGTGGACACTTGTGCAATCTCAGGTCATGCTAACCAAGAAATTTCACCAATTACAAAAAAGCAGAGGCTCAACCATCTCCAATTCAACCATCTCCAATTCTACTCCTTATGACAATTGCCAGGAATTCCAAATCCTACCTCTCAAAAAGGCCATGGCAGCAGGGTTGCTCAGGCCCAAACATGGCCAAGTGACCTGGATGGCGCTCACTGTAGTGCTGCTTCCCAGTGCTTAGGGAGGACACAGAACCTTTTATATGTTCTGAAGAGATACCAATAATTAATTGGACTATCACACAAAAGATATTGTCCTAGACTTTTAGGTAGCTTTTAGTGTTGATTCAAACACTTTAAATTTTTGCTGAAATTCAAAATCTTCTAGAAACCCTGAGGCACATGAAAATGACCCAAAGAAATATAGAATAATTACCGCAGGAAATTGTTGCAGTGGCCAAATGATTATTTTATATTCAGTTAATAACAGAATAGAGTGTAGTCCTCGTTTGCTCAGCATGATAAAATGAGYCTAAAATATTTGTCTATTTCTCATTAACTTTGGCTCATTGAAAGTATTGTCCTTTTTATTCAATTCTGCTGTCTTATATTACAATACCTTTGACAGTAAAATAGCTAATTTTGTTCTTGATTTGAAGGCCAATTCATTTGCTAAAGTAAAAATGTGTTATGAGCATTCCAGCTATGGCCTACACTCATCATTTTAACAACATTTTCCCCCAAAAGCAGGAAACTGATTAAATGAAAGCTTACCTGATTTCCTCCCATGCCATGACAGTTGAATATACCCACTTTTTCATTTTCTTTGCGGCCCATGTTGTCTAAACATTGATTGGTTTCCACGTTTCTTATCTAAAGGGAACATATGCAAAAAAAGGAGGCTAAAGCAAGGTAAATAGTTACTTAAGTCAAAATAGATTTTTAATACTATTAAATTGTATATTGTTACCTAACTGATACATGTTTATAAAAAAATTTCTCCAAGAACATGCTGCTCTAAAATATCTATTTTTTTAAATATCCATTTCTAGTCCTATGTAAGTTTTTAAACATCCACTGAGTAAATTTGAACAGTTTTGACTTTGGCCTTAGCATCTAACCAGGAGGTACTCCTTTTTATAGTATAGTGTCAGAGAAGAAGGAAATGTCTACATGTTATGAATGAGGAATTCTTCTTAATATAATCTAAAACTTTGGAGAGCTTTAAAATTCTACCCAAATAACTATAGTCCATTTTTGAATTTTCACAGTACCATATGCAAGAAAATAAAAACAAATCAGTTAAATACTGAAACTTATGATTTTTACATTGCTTCATTACTAGATGCTCCTTTCTGTGTATTAATAAGGATTAATTACCTTGTTTATTTTTGTGATGGAGACATAGTCATGCATCTTCTCTTATTCCTAATACCAAACTTAATGGAAAGTGCTTGACCCTAAGAAAGGCTGTTACAAAGCTAAATGGAGTTTCACATTACAAATTCTTCAAAAGCAAGATTAAATTGCCCACTGCAGACATGAGGTTTTTGGTTTACACTCAGACACTGCATTAGTCCCATCATTAGCATAAAGTTAATGCATATTTGAGCCAAATGTAATTATAAAAGCCATTCATTAAGCTTAAGGATGCCAAAGTTGCTAAATCAAGTACAAATTAATATAAAAAAGGAGGGGGAGACAGAGGAATTCTATTAAATGGGACGTTTTGTATTTTTTCCTTATTATAAATCTACAAGCATATATTCCTGTATACCCATCCACTCTATTTCTGAGAATTTTGTGTCTCTAATCCATAATCGGATAAGCATATTTTCTGCTCATGCAGTATAATGACTTGGATATCTCTATTTAATTACCTGTGCCTGAGGTACACATTTATTCATATCAACAAATTGATAATAGTACAAAATTATTATATTAGCAAATAAATTTKTATAATTCATTTTTCCTGTACAGAAACCCATGGACAAATACTGGTTTCTAGAGTTGGGAAAAGTGGCATGATGTGCACTAAGGCCATACCAGGAAGTCAGAATAGTGGAGATCCGAGATTATACTTAGGGCTAGAAAGAACTGTACAGAGGGCCCAAGCCCCTGTTCTGATGGGCTGATATTTACAGCACTTCATCAAGGAATCTGAGCAATATCTGATGAGAAAGGACAGAACATGCAGTAATATTACAGGGAAAGAAGCAAAATCAGAAGCAAAACCCACATGGAGGCATAGGATTCAAAGGTATTCTCAATCTGATTTAGGTTGGTTTAGAAACTGGAGGAGGCTTGGCCTAGTGGAAAAAGGCTTCTCAGGACCTACAGATAGACAATACTGAGAAAGGTGGTAACTGAAAAAAGATGTAATAAGTCTATGCATGCTACACATGGTCTAATCAATTTACATTGCACATAAATTGAATTACTTTTAAATCCCTTACATTTGACTTTTTCTTAACTTTTCATAAAAAGCAGACTTCTTAAAAATAATAAATTTATTATTATTCATAATTAGCATGGTAAAAAAGTATAAAATAGTGCCATAATACTCAGAGGATAAGTATTTTACAAAATGATTAATTTACCTATAGATGTTAGCTATACAATCTCACTTAAAGTACCTCAGCTGGTACTTGAATACATAACTAGTAAATAATTACAAACATTATAAGTTGAATCAATTATAGGATTTTTGACTCTTTGCTAAATGACAGAAAATGCAAGATATATTCATTCCAGTAACTTCTCTGATAGTAGCATTTTCAAGGGACATACTATAGATACATGCCATCCTACTCTTTGAAAAATTAAGTAAGGAACTTAAGAATTCTTCCAAACAATTTTCCCCACTAGCAACCWATTATTAGTCTACTTTCTGCAATAGAAAAACTTTATTTTTTTGTCTGTTTTTTCATAATATGTATTATGAACTCATTAATGCAATCAAGAAACATGGAGAGAATCTATAACTCATACCAAACACTATTTGAGGTTGGAGGATATAGAAATGAAAAAAAAAATAAGCATAGTCCCTTTCATCATGAAGCTTATATTTTACAAGGAATGAAGGCATAACTAGAAAGACTTGTAACATGTCAGATGATCAAGAAATTTTACAAAAATTATCAAGCACAGTACAGGCAGGGAAAGTGATGAAGGAGTACTGTTTTGCAATGAGAACCAATAAAGGAAACTCTAAGATACYACAAAAGATACCTTGATAGAGCRAGAAAGCAGCCACATTTCCATCCATGGAGGAGCACTCCAGGCAAGGGAACAATACACACATGTTCCATGCAGTTGGAGAATACTGAAACAACACAGTAGCAATGTGGCCAGGGAACTGTGAGCGAGCCTCACACTATGGAGGTATCCAAGACTAAGTAATGTCAGGAACCATAAGTTTTTGAGCATAAGCATATCACAACAGCTTATTCTAGGTGCTGTGTGGAGTACAATTACAGGTTGACAAGGCTAGAAACAGGAACTAAGTAGGGGGAACACTGCTGCAATACAAGCAAGAGAGGACAGTTGCTTAGAACTGAAGGATAACAATGGAGGTGGAAAGGTCAAATCTGGGATATATTTTCAAGGCAGAGCCAGTAGGACTTTCAATTGAATAGGATATGAGCTATGACAGAAAAAAAGACCTTGAGAAATATTCAAAGTTTGGGCTGAGCAAATGATGTTTCCATTTACTGGGAACAATATTCTGAGTCCTTATGTGTGAATAGCTATCTATGTAGTCTTTGTACTTGAAAATGAGTTTGGTTTATGGGAAGTCCTTGGCTGAAAATATATTATTTGAGTGTGTTTACAATGTCAGTGCATTTACTTACAGTGTAAAGGGCTGCTTTTAGAAGGTATGGCGACAATCAGGTGTTTTTGCCCATTATTTTAACCAGTTTTTTATTTACCTGGATGACAAGCTTTCTTTTTTTTTTCTTTTTTTTTGGGGGGGGGGRGGKGGGGTGGGKGGGTGCCAGGGATTGAACTCAGGGGCACTCACCACTGAGCTACATCTCCAGCCCAATTTTGAATTTTCTTTAGAGACAGGGTCTCACTGAGTTGCTTAGTGCCTCGCTTTTSCTGAGGCTGGCTTTTGAACTTAAATCCTCCTGCYTCAGCTTCCCGAGAGGCTGGGATTATAGATGTGTGCCACCATGACCAGCTACTTTGTTTTCCTTTTCTTTACACTCTAATAGATTTGCCAGTATGCCTTGCTGTTATTTATATGRATTACTCCTTCAGGTATGTACTTCTCCTTCTCATCATGTAGTACCAATTTTATTTTCAGGAAAGTTTACTTAAATTATAATCATTAATGTTCATTTTATTTCATTACTTTGGTTTTCCTGTTTAGTAAATATTATTTTGGATCTTGTTGCTTGTTTTCTGTGTATGTCATTAATGGAGCGAGAAAGCAGCCACATTTCCATCTATGGAGGAGCATTCCAGGCAAGGGAACAATACACACATGTTCCATGCAGTTGGATCAAACAATATTATTTTAAATCTCTTCTTTATTTAAAAAAAAAATTCCTTCTCTTTTTCCTCTAAAATTTGTACAACATTTTCTCTTAAGATTACTGATCACATGTTCTCAGAAGTTTACTGGTCATTTCTGAAATTATTTATTCTTTAATTTCTAACTCTTGCCTTCAGAGCTTTCCTAAGTTTGATTTATATTGTTATCTTCTACATCCTATTATTTACAGTGTTTTTTTTTTTTTTTAGCTTCTTTAAAAGAATTAGGCTGCATTTTTCTCTGACTTATGATCTTAAAGCACTGGTGTGCTTGCATCTTTTCTAGGGGTACTGCACCCCTTACTATCCATGCTCATTAGCACTCATCCAGTTGTACTCTTTCTTCTTTTCTTTCTTTCATGTTTTTGGTTCCTTTTTCTTTTATATAAAAACCATTTTCCTGATATTTGAAGTGGRAGTATTTGTTGAGGTACCATTTCTAACTTTACAAATCTGGAATTTCATTTCTTGTAGGTTTTTGAAGAGTTAAGAAGAAAGCCCCTATTTATACATATCCTGGCTCTGTTTACCTCTCTTCTTTCTATCTGAAACTTACATTTCCTTTGCTCCTATGATCCCTACCCCGCCCCCCCGCTTCAATTTGGGCTTTTTTTTCTTTTAAGTTTCTCTTAAAGAAGGAGCTTCAACTAATGCGTTTCAAGAATCTACACATTCCAGGATATTAAGACCCTTTCAACATTAGACAGTAGACTCTTCATTTGCCTGAACAGCCTTCTCCAAGATTCAGCTACTATTACTGAATTAGCTAGAAACAATTCCTCATGAGCAGCTACTGAGAATTTGAGTGTTAACAATGTCTTCATTTCTATCAGACACTTACTTCATCGTTTCCCTGTTTCCTTCATTGTTTTCTCTGACATATCTTGCCACTTAATTTTATTGTCAATTCTTCATCAGTTTTTGATTTTACTATCTTAGCCATTATTTTAGTAGGAAACAGTTCAGAGTTTGTATGTGCCAACCTATTACCTCCCTTAAAAACATTAAGTTAAGGAATTTGCCCTATTAAGGAATGTAAAGTTATTATAGAGAGTCTCGGAATCACCAATCCTGGATTCCAGACAGGCAAGCAGCCTTTATTAGAAACAAGGCATAGAAGGAACGAGAAAGGATGGAGTTCTAACTGAACAGAGGTAACCAGAGGTCACCCAGATAAAGGTGACAACATGCACATAGAAGAAGATCTATAAAAGCAGCCTAGTGCCAGACCTGGGAATCCAGGTCAAGAAGATTAGAAGCAAAGAGACTTCATGCCCAGTACCATGTGTTGGACTGAGGTCAAGTGAATGACTTCTAGCTATGAATGGGGT